ATATTTGTGTCCTATGGTACCCAAATGGAATCATGTTAGCACATGGACACGAAAGTTAAACTGTGGGCACAAACTAATGGCAGAACCTTTAGCAGGTACATTTTTGGTGTATACCTCCTTTGGTCTAGTACTTTTTTTGGGGGGAGGGGGAGGCAGGGCACAACCAGCATTTTGTGAAGGGTAAGTCTTTGTGATATGGAGTAATCTGACACCCTGAGGAGTTTTATGTTCACATTTATGTTTACTTTATGAGTTTTATCTCTGAAGCCTACCCATTAAAAGCCAGGACACTTCCCCATAACTGAGCAACCAGGAGACATTTTTAAATACATCAAAGCATGGCTGGTTAACCATAGTTGCTTTCATCTATCTTTTGTATTACCAAGGAAGGCCTTCTAAAATGTAAACCTCATAACTCTCAGCTAGTCAACATTTTTCAGTACATGCATATTATCTGCGATAAAATTCAATCCCCACTGACTCAGAGTTAGGGTATTTGGCAACCTGACCACACCTGACTCTTATCATTATTTCTGCTCATCTTTCTTACGAATCCTGTGCTCTAGATATGAGAATTTTTCTTAAAATGTGAGTTCCCTCTTCCCGAACAGCTCTTCCTTACTGACACCTCCCATGTCTTTCATGCTCATGATGCCCATGAGGCTAAGTCCAGGACTGTCAGGCTTTCTGCAGGGTGTACTTTCTCTATCACAACACTCACTATACAGTTACTTACTTAGCTCATCATTGTTTGGGGACAGCGTATACATTTTGCGTCTATCCAGGCTCACTTATCCGGGTTATGGTTGATGCTTTTTGTATGACTTATTTACTTCAGACCTTTATTCTAGCCACTGTGGCCTCTCCTGGTCCCAGGACAATGATAAAGAATCTAAAAATTATGGTTCATGAAACATGACTACATGAGAAGCTAAATCACTGTAGTGCCAGCTCATTTTATCAGTAGCCATTCAGAATTTTTAGAGATTCCTGGCCCTGAAAAGAAGTATTTGTTTCTGGGAGGTTGAGCAAGCAATTCATTTAGAGAGAACAGGAGAATGAGATGAGTAATTGTGAGCGACAAGGATATAAAATGTTCAACTCTGCCTCTCTGGTGTACTGTAGGCTTTCAATACTGTCTTAGTTACTTTTCTCTCATTACTGGGACAGAATCCATAACACTCAAAATGAAGGAAGGAAAGACTTATTTAGCTGATAGTTAGTGGAGGTTACAGTCCATACTCCGCTGGCTCCAAGGCAGAGTGGCATACGGCAGAGAGTTCATGGCAGTGGAAAACAGCAAAAAGCAAAGAGAGGAAAAGCGGCTGCCTGTCCCCCCGCCCCCCAGGTAATGTAGATTACCTCCACCCTGGTGGGTATAGCACTCACACCCTTAATCCCAGCATCAGATCATGAATTCATCACAAACTCTAGAAGCTAGGGACCAGGGATATAGCTCAGAGGCATAAACACCTGCCTGGCGAGCACAAGGTCCTGAGTTCAACCCCTGGTACCGCAAATAAATAAATAAATAAATAAACTCTAGAAGCCACCTCATACCTGCATGAGGCTTTGGGAAGACACCTAGACACAAAGCATGACAAATGCCATGACAGTTCATTCTCCTAGCAGAAGGCTTAACGCTAACAGTTAAACTGTGTCTCCCAAAAGAAGGTATTTTGAACTCTTAACACCTAGTTTCTCATTTGGAAGCAGAGCCTTTCAAAAGGTAACAAAGCTAAAAAAGAGGTCATGAGAGTGGGCCTTAATCCAAAGTAGCTAAAAAAAAAAATGACCAAAGTGGCTGGGATCCTACTGAATAGTGAAACTCTGAACAGAGCTTGAAACACAGAGCTGGTGGGAACTCACACAAAGAGAACGCCAAGTGAAGGTGAGAGGTTAGAGAAATGCATCAACATAAAGCTAGGAGTGCTGAAGATTACCTGCAAGCTACCTGAAGTTAAAAGACAAGGAATATTCCTCAGGTTTAAGAAGGAGCATGACCTTGATCTTGGATGCCTAATGTCAAACAGTACTCTGCCAGAACAGATTTCCATTTGGAGTTATCCAGTGTGCATCGCTTTACTACCGCAGCCCTGGGAAATTAACACACTCAGGAATAGAGACTATGACACTGCTCAGGAGACTGTACAGGCTCTTCCTATATCTCTTGTGCCACATTCCAGCCTTGATGTGGCAACTGGGGCTGGCCTAAGGCTGACCAGAGGTGGGACCCATTGCCTTCAATGGCCTGACACTGCTAGAGGAGGGTTGATGGGTCTCACCTGGATATGAAAAAGATTGATTCTATCTGTGGCTTCCAGGAGCTCTTTTTCTGCCAGTTTGCGTCCACTCTCTGTCTGCTCTTGCAAGGACCTCAGTTCCTCTAGTTCAGACTGAAGAAGAGAGTTGCGTCGTTCAGCCACAGCCACCCGCTCCTTCAAATTACTGTTCAGGTGTGTGCTGTCATCCAGCTGCACTTGAAGATCCTGCAAGAGAAGACATGGACTTGGAGCACAGGTCCCCTTGTTCAACATGGGATGGGACTCCATGCATATGTGCAGAGACAGCTCTACCTACATGACAGCTCTACATGTTGAATGTAAACATGTTCCCACTCTCTTAAAGGATGAGATGTTGCCCTTACCCCTATTGCTCCACATAATCTGTTTCTTAGTGTTCAACCCTAACCCTATATTCTAAATTGAAAATACCTTCATTTGACTTTGAAGCTGGACCAAGGATTTGGTTGCCTCGGACACCTGGCGGTTAGCAGAACAGAGTTGCAGTTCCATGTCCTTTAGATCCCCTTCCATCTTCTGCTTTAGCCGGGTAGCTTCAATTCTGCTCCTAGCTTCAGAATCCAGACTAGACTGCAGAGCATCAATAGCACACTGTTGCTTCTTCCTTATTTGGAAATAATATTTAGAGGGAAAATATCACATACCCAAACTAAGTAAATTTACTTGCTATGTTCACAACAGTTTAGGAAATGTAAAAAGGCTAAATTCAAAACAAAAATCTAGGTGATTAAAAATGGAGCTAAAAGGTTTTCATGACATAGAGTCAGAGGTGAGTCTGTGTTGAGCACAGCATTGTATTGATCACAATAGACTAAGAAAGGCTTACAGCCCAACTTGTACGAGAATCAAGGAGCTCCAGGCTGTTTTCAGTGTTTCTGTAGGCCAGTGATAACCTTATCTGAGATCCTCTAAAGGATGATCAAAAGTAAACCCCCAGATTTCCAAGAGTAGCTCATAGTGAAGGACATCTGCTTTTGTAGATGTCCATAATTTAGCCACTTTGATGAGAAATGTCATATCTGGGCAGAAGAAGGCTACTGATATTAGAAACACTCTAAGATCAGGCACTACTGCTCCAGTAGCCCACAGACATTAACTGTACTTGAATAGGTTTATTTCTTTCTGGGAGTTTGGGAGAACAAGAAATGGCTGAGAAAACCAGTTGTGATGTGATATTGAATGACTTTGATATTCCTTCATAAAAGCAAAAACCCTATCTGCAAAGTGCTTGAAGCTGTGAAAATAGCTATGTGTTTAGGAGGGCAGTGAACATATGGAGGGGATCCATGACAATTTTCAATTCCCAGTACTCCTGCAGATAGTTGGGGACAACATGGCTGACTGGGCTAGAGTGAAGTATTCCATCAAAAGCCTCCGCCACACAAATGTTTACGATCTGCAATCCCTCACCCCTATCTGTGGCCTCGTGAAATGGAAGGAAGCTAGCTTCTTGAGTTGCTATGCAGGATAGACAACTTCATTTCCTACCTCACACTGAACTCCAACTCAGAGAAAATTAAACTTCTATCACTTTAAGCTACCAGGATTCGGTGCTTGTTCATCAGGACAGTTCAGCTCTATCACTAACATGTGCACCACATAGCTCATCCCATTAAACAAAGCTCTGGAGAGGCAAGTAGATGAGAGGACAAAAGGACCTTGTATCATTTCTCATAGTGTATTTCAGAACAAACAGCAAAAATGTATTTGTCTTGGATCAGAAATAGATCCTGCACTGAATCATCACAGGGCCTGTGTCCTGACCTCTGAAATGGATCGGGAAGACAGGCCTCCTGCAGGAGGAGGGTCGTGGTCAGAATTTGCTAGTGGATCATGGCTATGGGCCACAAGTGACATGAGTGTCTCTTTGTCTCTGTCTCCTATGACAGGTCCCCAAAAGCAGTTTAGAAATGTTTGGATTGTTTCTTTCTGGCTCCATAGCTCGGGTTTGTACCACTCCTCTGCAGTCCCATTTTTCCTGACATTACCAGCTCAGGCTGACCTTCCATGCCTACCTGTAGGTGCTTGGTTTATGTTCAGCCACCAGATCAGAATCATAGGGCCTTACAAGCAAGTAGTGTTAATAGGAATAGTGATATGATGAATTGTTTTCCCTCAACTGTCACTTGTTATACCTGAGTATCCCAGAAAATGACTGGATTTATAGTCAGAGACTTTATAAGATAATTAAAATAAACATTAGGCCATTATTTGTAGATTTAATAAAACAGAACTGGTGTCCTCACAAGGAGAGGAAGACACCCTAGGGATAGGCACACAGAGAGGAGGGGCCTTGTAGGGTCAGAATAAGAAGGTGACCATCTGTCTGTAAGCCAACGACAGAGACCTCAGGAAAATAAAATCTGCCAATACCTTAATCTCAGATTTACAGACTCCAAAACTGAGAGAAAATTACTTTTTTCTGTGTAGCCACCCAGTCTGTGTGCTTGGTGATAGCAACCAGGCAAACTAATACAGACACACATATGCGGCACCACTAAGAGCTTTAAGCTGCTTCTCTGCCTTCCTGTGATGTTTTATCCCCAAGACCAACTCTCACCATACAAGACTAGAGCATCCCTGGCTGCGTCAAGGTTCTATGCAGAGAAGTGAAATCTACTGCACTCGGCAAACTGAATATTTCCCATGCTAGTTGGACTGAAGTTGTTTACGAAGTGTCATGAGTGCTTGCAAACAAGGCTGTGTGGCTTAAAAGGAATGAAGAATACAGGTCTGAAGGATGATGGCTAAATAATCAATTTTATCTATAGTCTGAAAAAGACCCAAAATAAAAACTCCCTAAAATACCTCTTTTCAAAGAAAAATGAAACACTTATGAATGACCAAAAAGGAAGACTTTTTTCTAAACAAAACATAAAAATTACAATAAGAACCTAAATTTTAAAAATCAAAACACAAATGTAAAACTTTGAAAAACTAAAAATTTAAAAACAACAATTCAGTGTCAGCCATGTGGATGAGTCACTGACAAAGAATCTACAAACTCCAGTATGGGTTTCAGGATAAATCCTGAGGGGATTTGACTGACCTTGGCAGACACAAAAGTTACATTTCTTGTTATATAGGTCTTGCTTTATCTTCGTCTTAACCATCCAGCAGAAAAGTATAAAAACGAAGTATAAAAAGTAAAGTCATACTAATATGCTGAGATGTAAAAGGCTCAAGTCAGCAACTTCTGACATTGCCATTTCTGCAGATAACCCACTACTATAATGGACTACTGGACTATATTAGAATATTTTGATGAATTCATGCACATATAATATTTAAATGACAATGGAATACTCTTCTCTGACAAAACTAAGCAAAAAAGGAGATACAAATGAATGACCATTTTGTATCTGTATATTCAAAATAGGATAAATATACAGTTGGCTTCTCTTAATTCAATGAATAGAGAGATTTGTTCTAATAGTGTTTGTGGACAGGATATCAGGTCTGCATCTTGTACAGTGAATAACCAGTAAGACAACAATATGCAATGTATTAATTATTGAAACTGCTAGTAATTGATTTTGAAACTGCTTCATTGCTATTTGTTTCTCATTAAAATTATTCAAAAAAAAACAAAAACAAAATGATTGTTAAAAAAATTACACATAAAAAAATAGAAAGTGTAACCCAATTTTGTAAAACACAAGTAAATAGAAATAGACTCCAAGATGATTAGTTGTTAGAGCTACATGAGAATTTAAACAATCTGAATGTCATTGATAAGCAAATGCACCTGAGACATGGAAACTATAAAGAGTCAAATGGGAGCTCTAAAACTCATAGTACAATATCTTGAAAAACAATAACAAAACCTTCAATGAGTTTAATAGTAGACTAAAGATTGCAGAAGAAAGAACCAATTAACATAAAGTCAGAAATATTGAATATTTTCAATCTGAAGAACAGAAAAAATTAAATAATATCCCTAAATTACCATTCAAGAGACAGCAGTATACCATATGTAAACATGGAGATAGGCCAAAAGAAGGGATGGTACAGGAATAGAAAATTACTTGGAAAAGAAAGGCTAAAGTTTCTCAACATAATTTTTTAAATAATTAACTTAGAATTCCAAGATGGCTAAGAGAAGCCCCCAAAGAGTAAATATTATGGAAACCAGAACTGGGCACACGCTGGCACTGCGCCTCACCATGCAAACACAGAGGAGGCTGTGGGTGCCAAGCACATGTCACTGTCCCCCCCCCCACAGGGAGTGAGAGCAGAGGAGGAGAGAGGCAGCACACAGAGGAGCCAGGAGCGTGCAGACTACCCATGATGAAAATATGAACATGCAGCCACGTATTTCTGATAGTAGGTAGCATATGTTATGAAAATAAATGAATGAAGAAATACTTGCAAAATTAATTAATGGTGGATGTTTCAATGTGACCTTTACATTCCTTTGAATATTTCATGGACTAAAGAAGTTTAATACAATGATTACATATTTTAAAAAAACAATTCAATAGACCATGTTTTTGTCTTTGATATTGCTTATCTCATGGAAATATGAGATTTTCCTTAATATGTGCAATTTACCTTTAAAACGACAAGCAAGGTTTTTGTTTTTTTGTTTTTGTTTTTTTTTTTAAATGTATTTGGTACAGGCTCTACAGGGCGTTCAGGGTCTCACTATGTAGATCAGACTAGCAGTGATTCTCCTGTTTTCAGCCTCCCAGGTGCTGGGATTACAGGCGTGCACCACCATGACCAATCTCAATCATCATCTCAGTGCACCCCATGGGCAGGGCCAGCACGGCAGAACAGAGATTGAACCCCCAGCCACTGCACTCGCTTAAGTAGGAGCTTTAGTATGCTGAGCTATCTGGCCGGCCTGAGAACTGAATTCCATGTCTCAATTTGAGACCATACTTTCCAAAGACACACAAAAATATTTTACCTAACAATCATGAGATTCAAACATAATCTTGGGACAGAAATTCAGTTAGATAATAGAAACTAAGAGGGTGTAGATAAATTGAGATAATGGGGCAGAGTTTGAAATGACTGCTTTCCCAGGAGTATACCACAAGGAAGGACAAGACAATGGAAGGCTCCTGAGGCTGTAGACCTGGGTGGGCAAACCATGGACTGTGGACCAATTCCGCCACACTCATTTAACCGCCCATTGTCAAGGGCTATTTTAAAATTATAAATGCAGAGCTGATTGGTTTGCTCAGAGACCATATAGCTCACAGAGCTGAAGGTATTTACTAAGTCTAATCCAACACAGAAAGTTTGCCTAGCTTTTCCATAGCATAGGCCATCAAGCCAAAAGAAACAAATGTATTCTCATAAAATAATCTCTGGGTAGAGCGGAAGATGTGTGCCGACGCTCACTACTGAGGCATGTCCCGGAACAGTTGGGAGAGGACTGTAACTGGTGTCCCTGGAGACTCAGAATGTACCTGAACAACCTGCTGTCAGACGAGCCTGGATGCAAAGGCTTTCTGTATGTGGCAATGGGGTACCACAGAGCCCTAAAGCTGGCCTGCTTCCCTGTATCCAGAATGGAGATCAGTGTCAGTCATCAAAGCTCTCCCCCTCTTCCATCCGTTGTGACTGCCCTGTCACCTCCCTCCAACCATGCCAATAATAAACAACAGTAGAAATAAAGATAAAAACAGCTGTGTCTTCCACAAAAGTTTAAAAAGTTCTGACTAGATTAATAGGCACAGTTCTCACCACCATTAAGAAAGCAAATATTTCTAAATAAATCATCACACAACTCTACCTACTAACACAATTCACAACTAAAAGCCTCCAGGAGGGGCTCACACAGGCATAGACTCTCCCAGACTCTCACACAGCTTGGCAGAAGAGAAGGAATTGAATGTGTTACGCCTTTGTGAACTATCACAGTCTGACCTTTCCCTTTAGATCTCTCTTCTGTGATTTTCTTGGTCCCTTCAATTTCCTGATTCCTGTCTGCACAGATTGCTTCAGTTTCTGTGGAACGGCTAAGGATTATTGTGGATACAGGACGCTGAAACTATCTTGCCATCAGGAAATTATTTTCTTTGAGGTCTCTGATATGTTGGTTTATCCTTGATGTTTTGGAATTTCATGCTTGTGTTTATCCACCCCCCCCCCATCCTATTCAGTTTCCTCCTAGCCCCGGAGTCATCTTAAACCACCAGATTAAACCAGGACACTTGGTAAAAGCTATGCTCAGAGTGGAAAGGGTCTGGGGAGGGCAGTCTTTGTGATACTGTGGGAGACACACTCACCTTTCCTTTCTGATTGCTCCCATCCCTATTGCTATGAACCAGTAACTAAAGTTCAGGAAGCGCTCATCCCTGCTGCCACTCCCCTCTCCTTTTCTCTGCCCCTTCACACCTCTAGGTCTCCTCAGTGCTTCCCTCGCTTAACCATTTCTGCTGGATCTCTGGCTTCCTCTGCACTGTGGTTGTTATAATTGGGGAACTGCTCTACAACACTCAGACGTGCCTAGTGAGATGCAGACTCGCCTAAAGATTTATTTTTCCTCCGCTTAGTTTATTTATAGGTATAGGTTTGATTCAACCTGAGGGTTTGATTTTACATGAAGTAAAAAATGATTTTACTATTTTTTTTAATTGCACAGGAGACACTCAGTTTTGTTCCTCATGAGAGGAAGTAGGATAAACATTAAGGCCCAATAGTTTTGCTTTTCATCAAAAACTCCTGTTTTGTTTTGGTTTTAGACACTGACTCAGAGCTTCTTAATTAGACAAAAATTCCTCTCTGAAGGGAGTTCTGGGAAGGAAAATGCCAGGGAGAGAGAGCAAGGGTACTTAATCACACAGATGACTTTGTCTTCCCCAAGCAATAGGCTGCAGGAACAGGTGGGAGTGTCGGAAAGTTTCTCTCTGAGGTGACATTAGTGTTAGTGTACAGTGCCCAAGTTTGAGTCCTTTTCTCCACAGTTCAGCATAGTTTCTTGAATGTCTAAGGCAGCTGTGAAGAGATCCAGACAGTATACACAGCATAGATAGATAGATAGATAGATAGATTGATTGATTTAGAGATAGAGATAGAGATAGAGATAGAGAGAGACAGACACAGAGACAGAGAGAGACAGAGAGACAGAGACAGAGAGAGAGGAACAGACAGAGAGAGAATGCACATTTTAAATGCAAGTAGAAGTTGCTTGGAAAAATCATGAAACCTGGTAGTAATTATGTATGGGTATTATTTTATACTAACAGGGGTGCACTTAATAGAAAAGCTAATGTGGAGTTAGACTAATTTTTTTGGTAATGACCCATCAAGTGTCATGGAAGGCACTAAATACAGTGAGTTCTAATCACTCAAGGCTTCTTTAATATGTAACTGCTGCTCATCAGAATAATTTTAAATACCTAAAATTTTCCATTTCTTCCTCTTTCTCAGAAAGCTTCCTTTCAAGTTCTGCTCTAGTTTCCGAGAGTTCAAGCTGGACGCGAAGAATCTTGCTTTCATTCCGCTCCAGAGCTCCCTAAACAAATTAATTTATTAAACAAACATTAAATGAAATCCACCTTTGGAAAAAAAGATTTGAATTTTTTTCTCTCAAAATGTATGTCACCAAGGTAACTCTCTTAGGGGTTGCTGGGACATATCCAGGTTCAAATCAGCTCCATAAAGAGTGGAACAGGATGAAATATGAGGGGCTGCTTTCATTCATGGTTTCTGACATTCTTAGATCTTTAGCTATAGCCCAGGAAAATAGTTCTAAAGCATTCTTAGCCTATTATTTTTACTGAATTTTTTTTTGAAGTGCTAGGGATAGAACACAGGATCTCATACTTGCTAGGCAAGTGCCCTTCTACTGAGGTAAATCATCTGCCCAATTAAAACATATTCTTAAAATATAAAATTTCAACCTTCTGTGACTATATTTAAACGCTCACAGTTACTACTTTTGATTCTTATAACACATTCCATCTTTGGAGGGACCTAATAAAGTATCCAAGGTAGAACAAAAAGTAATAACTGCTATTGGGAATCTTTATTTGATTCTGGGTTTCACAGAGAGCTAGAAGAAAAAAAAAATGAATTCATTGAGCCAGTAAACAACAGAAATGTGTGTGATGTTTCATATGAAAAGCCAAAAAACCTTAGGATATACTTGACACCTAACAATCAATTAGAGCCATTATCACCATTTAGGTCAAATATTGAACTTTTTTGAATTTTTGCATGAAGTTCATATGTTACCTAGAAAATTTTAAGGAACAAGAATCTGAAGAGGACACATTTCATTATGTTCCACTGGAACAGATGTTGCAAAAATGAATCACTAGATATTGAAGGGTCAGTTAGCACTCTTCCTATAAATGGACTGTTTTGACAGCAGGGAGATCTCTCAGTCTCTGAGTATTTAGGAGTGACCAAGGAAGGCCGAGGAGATAGCTCAGCAGTCTAAGCACCTGCCTGGCAAGCATGAGAACCCAGATTCAATCCCCAGTACTGCATGCCATGCTGGCCCTGCCCCAGGTGCACCAAGCCAGCCACTAAAACCAAGTATGGTAGTACATGCCTGTAAACCCCGTGCTGAGGAGGCTGAAACAGGAGAATCACTATGAGTCTGAGGTGTGTAGCGAGACCCTGTACCAAATACATAAAAGCAATAACCCAGTAAATTATTGTCAGAGATGTTGCAAAGGTGAATCAATTTTAAAAGTATAAGTTTGATGCAATTCTAAAAACCTATTCCAAAAAAATATGAGAGACATATATCTATATCTATATATCAATAGATATGAAAACAGCATATACTGATGACATAGTGCATATGGTGAAGCATCCTATTTGGCAGTGAACTCTGAACAGTTTTGAGGGCAGAGGTAATTGCTTATAACCTTCTCTGAAGAGTGATTAACAAATATCACCAAGGGTAAAATCAACTAACTAATAATTTTAGATAAAAACCAGAAATATGTTGAAAATTTCAATAAGGTCTCTATTGCTATCCTCTCAACACTATCTTCAATATAAAAATGAAATTAACCAGAAACAATGGTTGGATAGCAATTTTCTCACAGGAAACTGTATAGTTGCTTCAGGGGAAACTCTGACCTCTACCTTTCTAGAGTACTCTGAGAAAGTAAATCTTTAGAGAAAGTCACCTGGGATAACTTGAGTTCTATGGCTTTACGAAAAACTGATAAAGTTTCTCATAAAGTCTCACTGAGGATAAGAAATAACCCAAAGTTACAAATACACATCCAAGCTGATGAAGTGTTTATGATGTGCCCGGGGACAGAACGTGCAAAAAGGTTAATAGGATATATTGCCATCTAGTGGTGTTAAATTATATGCGTGCGGTGGCCCTAATATTCTCAACTTGAATATAGTGATGATTGATTAATATACAATAAGACCCTGATTTAAAAACATGTTCCATTCTGGAAGAATGCTGTGGCCTCATTCATATGCAACAAAAAGTGACTCTTTTACAGGACACTTGGGAAAGTTTGCAACTCAAATGTTCCTAAGTTGGGGACTTACTGTACAGAATGGTACGGTACAGTAGTTTTATGTTCTTCATACACAACAGTGCTGTGTTAGAGTTATGCAAATAAAAGCAAGGCCTTCAAGCTGGAGTTTCCTTTGATTATTTCTTTGTTGTGAATATTGTAATGCACATACTCTAGACAATTCCTCACTGAGCAAGCAAGTCTTTCATGGCCTCGTCTCAGGAGCAGGATTCAGTCATTAAACAAGGAGTGTCTGTGAAGGTCAGTGAATGTAGAAGAACCCGTCTGGTGAGGAGATGCCACACTGCTACTGAAGAGGTTCAACATAAAGTGCAGGTGACCTCTACACTATCATTTATACATAAAAGAGTGGGAGCTGCATCAAGAGTTGTTGCCTTGAACACAACACAGGTTGATGAGGCTGCATCTCTTGCTTTGCAGGTTTCTAAAGTCTTGCAGTGGTGGAGCAAATCTAACTGGAAAGGCCTACACAGTGAAGTCTGTGAGTGATAGTGTTTTATTACGGTATCTTCCAAAAGGATCTTGCCTAAAACTACCATTCCGTTCAGAAATCACTGTCTCTACTGGTGCATTTGTAGATTAGGACTGTATTTTAGCAGGTCCAGATGCTTATTCAAAAGCTGAGTCAAATGGATAAACTTCAGGTGAGGTAAAGGAGTCTCTGTAGGGCTTGTCAACCATCTAAGGGCCATGATAAAATAGCTGTCTTTATAGTTCACCGTCTTGTTTGGGACAGTCTTCTTAGTGGTCTTTGTAATTCTTGCCCCGACTCTGGGGTAGAGTCAGAGACTTTTCCTAACCTTTGAATCCATGACCCTGGAAACACTCCAGACAAACAATCTACATGCAAGATGAGCATTTGGAAAGCAGTCACATGGGATTTCATTTGGGGAGTGCTGCCTTTGACAGATTCTGTCCCAAGAGGGGAGAGCTGTGAGAGTAATTATTCTTTTAACTTTAGACAAATATTTACTGAACCTCCATAGGGAAAAATGAAGCTCCAAATGACTACACTATGGCTCAGGTTGTGTGCCAGTGTGTGTATGTGTGTGTATGTGTGTGTGTGTGTGTGTGTGTGTGTATTAGAGGGTGATTTGAGTGTGATTTTCAGGACCCTATAAGTGTACAGTCAGTGGAATTCTAGCACAGGCCCATCTGGTGGCCTCAAAGCAAATAACTTATATAACCAAAGTCAACACTGGTGCATAGCCATGCATATGTATTTTAGCATAAATCCAAACTGCCATGAGTGCTGGAAGGCTGGATAGTGGCTGAGGGGCTGAGTGGCTGTGCAGCTAGGAGGTGTGGCGGGGGACGCAGAGGGCTGGCTGGGCAGCTAGGCAGGTGAGAATGAAGTATCTAACCCAATGCACAGATCTAGGTTTCTTCTGTAGGCTGGCCAAATCTCGATTGAACCTTGCCAGTCAGAAATGGTGACAGGACAATCTTTCCAACAGAGAAGCTATGTGCTTCTCCAATGTTAGAAAGTATAGGAACAAAAACTTGATCTTGTTAAAATGCAGACTCAGATTCAGCAGAGCTGAGAAGAGTGAGATTTGGGGGCCAGGCTCATGGCTTGGTGGAATAAGTGCTTCCCTGGCAAGCGCAAGGGCCTGAGTTCAATCCCTGGTTCTAAAAAAAAAAAAAGAGTGAGATTTTGACTTTGTAACAAGGTCTTGAATAATGTGCACACAGCTGGTCCATGTACCACATTTTGAGTAGTGAGGGTCTAGGGAGTGGAGATCAGCAGTCATGGCTTCTGTTGTCAGTACATTCTAAAGATTTGTATTCAGTAGGACTTATTCTGCTTTTATTTATTTATTTCTTCATATTTTTTAAAGAAGGGTCTACATGGTATTCAGGGTCTCACTACTAGATCAGACTCATAGTGGTCCACCTGTTTACAGCCTCCCAAGAGCTGGGATTACAGGCGCACGCCACCATGCCCAGTCTCAATTGTCATCTCAACAAGCCCTGGAGGTGGGGCTGGCACGACAGGCCCAGGGATTGAACCCCTGGCCTCTGCCCCTACTTGCAGGTGCTTTAATCCACTGAGCTATTTGGTTGGCCCCCTTATTCTGCTTTTAGAGTTTCAAATTCATCCTTTGTAAAATGAGGACAATAGTTTTCTGGAATGATTGTATAATTGACATGTATCCTAACATGTGGACATTGCTTAAGTGTGATGGTGTGGTTGCTTTTGACATTACTACAAGGCAAACCTTCCCTTTGTCCTAATGAGGGAAATCTTCCTTCATCCCTCATGGCCATACCTCTGTTTCTTCCAGTGTCACCTCAGCTTTCATCTTCTCTTGTTCAACCAGTTTCTTAGCTCTTTCCATTTCAGTTAAGTTCCGGGTCCCTTCTTTAACTTTGTCTGTCAGACTAGAAATCTGCTCTGGAAAAATAAAGATCAGCAAAGTTAGTGGAAGAAATCTGTCTTAGACCTATGGTATCAAGCACATTACACTGTGCTCAGAGCTCCACTGAACTGTATTCATTCAACCCTTGGTAAGCTGAGGGAAGTTAGCCCTCTGGGACACTTGTTTGAACTGGAAAAAGGTGTCTGCTCTTCCACATATTCTTTGGCCATCTGCCAGAAAACTATCCCAACTGGTGAAGGTGGTGCTTCTTAGAGTCTTGTACCTGGGATGGTCTGTGTACCATCCCACAGTGATTCTGCTTATCCTAGCCATGCCAGATTCCACCTGGACATGTTCTCATACACAATCCTGGAATTCCTCCACTTCTAATGCAAGTGCCTAGCTTTCAACATCAGGGACTGCAATGATCTTAGTCACATACAACACTAGGACAGAAACTTGAAGAATAATCTAGGTCACTCTCTGCTAGGATCAAAAACATGGGCCTTAATCAACAGAAGACAGTAGTTTTAGCACACGACTTGATGGTTTGGGCTACCCTCCCATGACCATGTCTTTGAAAGAGCAACACATCTAGTAGTCAGAAAACTTCTACAACCTGATAACATCTCATTGATTCCTGGTTATGAAAGGAGCCTCTGTTACCTGGGATGGGGTTGGGGTTGATGGCCACAGAATTCAGTCTAGAGGCAGCAGAAGAACTCAAGAGCTCACCTGTTTCTCTGGTCCTGAGATCCTAGACAGTAACTATTTAAGAACTTTAAAAATTTGTACAAACACATCAGTTGAGAACTCACATGCAAATCATGACCCTTCTCTGATAAGCCCTGTCCAAAGAGAGCTTCCCCAGAGAAAACTCATTTTTCTCAACTCTGACTGCAACTTACTGGCTGTAATTTAGAATCACCTACAAAGATTTTTTCAAAGAAGCTCAAAGTCCTATCTCCAGCCCACACCAAGGAGAGTATCCAGACCAGTGACCTTGACTTTACTTAGAAAACTATTAGAAATGCATTTTCATAGACCTCATTCCAGAAGTACTAAATTAGAAACTCTGGGGTGGGCTCCAGCTGCCTGTTTTAATGTTCCTATTAGGTGATTTGGACAGAGCCAAAGCCTGTAAGCCACTCTTCCAGTACCTTTAGCATTCCAGTCATGGATTGACCTAGTCATGGATTATCTAAGTCAACAAAGAAAGCAAGTTGTAGTTATACCTCCAAGAATCATAAACTACTGCATTCTTCCGCATCTCTGGACCTTTGGGCATGTCACTCTTGGTGCTGGGGTAACTTGGCAGCTTTCTGGAAGGCTGCTTGGCAATGTGTCAAGATTTTAAAATTCATTACTGTAACTCAGCAATTTTATTTCTAGGATGTGAACAAATGTGAACAAATATATGCACATGAATGCGTAACACGGGATTAGTGCTGAATAATCAGGATTAAAATTAATGAAACTTAAATAAGTACTGGTCATTCTTATTATGAAATACAATGTAGCTTCTTAAAAGTATGAGGCAGGCCTCCATGGACAGGCCTGCAAAAAGCCACAAGCACCATGTCAAGTAGCATTATTCAGTAGTTAACTCTGTCGGAACCGAGACGCCTAGGCTCAGGTCTCAGGTCTGCTACTTTTCAATTGTAGGTTCAGACAAAGCACTTAACCATACATAGCCCAACAGAATCTCCATTTTACAAATAAAATTAACACTAAGATCTTCTGAGGGTTAAATAATGAATAGCTGTATACAGCATAGTATCCGGAATATAGCATGGGCTATAGAAATACTTGTTAAATTATAAAATGCATTGACAAATGAAAGATAAAAGGTGTGAAATAATGTGTAATTTGTATATAAGACATTCAAAAATACATACAATACATGGAAACTATCAGTAAGGCTTTTAATAGCAAGAAATTCTTAAGGTATATTTCATTATACCTTTAAGTATAATTTATACCTAACAGAATTAATATAATATAAATAACATCCCTAGCAAGAAAATACTAAAATCAAAGCACTGAAACTTGACAAGTTAAAACATGAATGGAAACAGCAATGCCAAGGTTTCCTGCTCACACGGCCAGGGCTCTCCCTAAGCCCCCGGCTCTTGCTCAGGCTGGGAGCCCAGCTGGAATACCTTGGAGACTCTCATTCTCCCTCCTCAGCATCTCCTGGCCCTCCGCACTCTCCTCACAGGTGTGCTTCAGCTTGAGGACCTCGGCGCTGAGAGCCCGGGCCTCCTTCTGAGAGGCATCCAGCAAGGCCTGGGTTTCCTCGAGCTTCTGCCTCCACTGGGCAACGGCCTGGTCAGAGTTCCGCAGCTTCTGGTCCAGTGAAGCCGCTGTCGAGCGGGCCTTCCCCAGGTCAGACAGGGCTTCCCCAAGCTCAAGCTGCAGCTGGTGCCTGGCCCTCTCCAGGGAGGCATTCCTGGCATTGGCCACCTGTGTGGCTTCAGCAGCCTCCTGCAACCGAATGGTCAGCTTCTTCCTGAGAAAGAGACAGAGAGGGAGAGTGAAGTAACATCCCCTGAGAGCTCATCAAGCCTGTCCCGGATTAATGAAAGTGCTGGATAGAAAGAGGGTGGCCTTTGCAGTTGGCATGACAGGATCCAGCACCAGCAGCTCCCTGTACTCCAGAGAGCATCTCTGTTCACCTCCAGCTCCGGCTTCTATGCTTACAGGGATTTTACTTTGCCAATCTGAACTTGGACCTCAGCACATCTTTGAACACACACACACACACACACACACACACACACACACACACACATTACTTATCCTAAAAATTTAATAAACAGTACGGGTCAATTTCACACAAAATGGTAGCCATTGTTCTAAACTTCGCACCAACAGCAAGCTATTGAAAACTCCCTCAGCATGTTTAGTCTCTAAGTACCTGCTTGGCTATGTTGCTTCTAAGGAATATTTTCTCGTGCTCTCCTGTGTGTTCATCCTCTCACCCTCTTTCCAGGTGGCTTATAAACACAACACAATGTTCTCCTCGCTCTGAATGTCTCAGATTTCCCTCCACTCCGCCAGCTGCCCACTTAATACCTCCTATGGCTCTCAGGGAGTCCTGGGCCTGTGCGCTTCCAGAATCATCTGCTGGAGAGGGGATTGTGCAGGGCTTCCCTGACCTCCCTCATAATTCAGCACTCTTAGAAATCCTTTCATTTTTTACTCTTAGGATTTTTTTTTTTTTTTTTTTTGTATTGGGGTTTGAACTCAGGACCTAGAGCTTACCAAGCCATGCTTAAGCCACTGAACTATCTCCCTGGCCCTACTTTTAGGAATTGTGATGAATAAAATGTATTCTTTGCATTCTTGCATCTCTTGCACAACTGTTTGCTGTCCCATTCTTCATCTTAGATTATTTCTTTAATGAAGGAAGTTATATGTAAGAAAGCTTTTCTTAGGCAGATGCAGGGACCGGGGATTTGATTTGTGGAGTGCCATGCAGTGAGACAGTGATTGAGACTGGTCATAGTGGCACAAGTCTATAATCCCAGGCTTGGGAGAAAACAAGAGGATCACTAGGAGTCCGAGTTTTGTAGGGAGACCTTGTAGATCCTGTACTAAACACATAACAAAAGAAAACTTTTCTTCTGTCCTGTGAAGCTATAAAAGGATGTAGAGAATTAACTTGCACTGTACAAGTATCCTGGCAGAGTCATGTGGTAGGTGACAAGGCTCCCTTCAGGTAGAACCCTATACAACCCAATCTGTGCTCAGAATTTAGGAAGGTTTTGGGTTCTAACAACAGTTCCTTGGTCACTTGCTTTCTAACCATGTCAGTTTATTTCTTTGCTTCACTCTTCAGATTCTAATGCTTAACCCATGAAACAAGAAGAGTCTCATAAAACAATTAAAAAACAAAATCCTGTGGTTTAGATCTCAAATGTCCCCCCTCCCACCCCCGTCCTCCTGTGTGTAGAGAGTGGGGGCTAGACTCATTAGTGGAGTGCTAGACTCATTAGTGGAGTCCTCCCTTGATGATTCCAGCAGCTCAGGGCTCTGTATGGGGTGGGAACAGCTGGAGTTGTCACTGGGTATCTTCTAGAAAGGTGTATCCTAGCTCAGTGGTCTAAGAGCCTGCCTGGCAAGTACAAGGACCAGGTTAAATACTTGGCACCACAGGCTGTGCTGGCCCCTAGGCTGCATAGTGAGACCCTGTACCAAATACATAAAATTTTATTTTATTATTATTTTACTCTACTCTACTCTACTCTACTCTACTCTACTCTACTCTACTCTACTCTACTATTTTATTTTATTTTATTTTATTTTATTTTATTTTATTTTATTTTATTTTATTTTATTGTGGTACCAGGGATTTAACCCAGGACCTTGCATTGCCAGGCAAGCACTTATTCCACCAAGCTATCTCCCCAGCCCTCATATACATAAAATTAAAAAAAAAGAAAAGAAATTTTCTTAGAAAGGTGTATTCTTGTCCCAGCTTCTCCCTTCTCTGTTTCCTGGGTGGCGTGACTTGACCACCTTTTCTTTCACCCTCCATCCTCACATCCTGTTCCTGCTTTAGAGCCCCCAACCAGATATTGAAACCATGAGCCAGGATAAACCTCTTCTTCCCTAAATTGTCAGTGACAGGTACTTTGTCACAACGATGAGAAGGTGACTAAGCTACTCAGAGTGACCAACCATGCTGGACCAGGACTGAGGGATTTCAGTAGGACTTGGGGTTTTCAAGGCAAACACAAGGAAATGGCAATGCAAATGGGACAAACTGCTCACTTTCATTTTACTGACAAATGTGTTCTACACTTCATACAAGCTACTATTTTGCTCCTTAACTTGCCAACCAGAAGCACTTACTTAGTTGTCTAGACTATGCAAAGGGCTATTTGAGGAAAAAAGCAAAATTTTATCCCTAAATAATTTGGGAGTATAAATGAGTCACAGGTGAGCTTGGTGTTGCTCGCCTCACTCATATGAATTTCAGATTGGAGCTCAAAGCAGGCTACTTTCCAACTTTCCAATTTGACCACTGCCTGACCCTAGATATTTTTGAAGCTTCCTATTTCCCTGAGGTGAGGTGGAGGAAAAGTATGACCCTGGAAAAACTTTATTTGCTTGATATTCAAATAATGCTAAAGCAAAAATGGTCCTCAACTATGACTATGTTTGTCCAGTACATTTCTTTAGTTGTCACATACTAGAGCACTAATTCCCACAAATCCATACGGTCATTCATCAATCCACATTCTTTCCTTTGCTACCCACCAAGAAAACCATTAAGTAAAATGACAGGCATTTTATCAATCACTTAAAGGGAAAATTCTTATTTAGAAGCAAATGACATATTTGGATATAAAAAGAGATATTTTAGCTCAGAGGCCCCCTTTGAGGGGCTGCAGAGATGATCATCTTAGTACCTGTCATTCCAAAGCCCTTCATGAGGCACTGTGGACACAGAGATGGATCACTTGACACTGCTTCTGGGACAGAACTAGAGCTGCTGCAGTGCAGCTACACACAATGCTGCTCAGATTTAGGTGAAGGACTGGAAAAAAACATTATTTCTAGCTAAAGGTAAAGAGGAGTGTATTGATCCACACTGAATCTTTGCCAAGCTACCAATCCAGGGACATATTATTTTGCGTAAAACAATTATAAAGTGGGGCTAGTGTGAAGCTTTCTCTGTAAAATACTAAAGCATTTCACTCTCTAAGTAAAGCACTTGAGTCCACTGCGGTAACCAGTCTGACTCACAGAGCCCCAGACTCCAACAGTTCTGTCGACAAACTCTAAAACCTTTCCATATCATTGGTGTCCTGGGGGATAATTTCTGATTTCTTTTCAATTTGATTTTTGTACCATAAGGCAAGTTGACAGATCCTAGCATGTTTCCAGCAGTTGCTGCCCATTTTCCCAAACCACTTGGTAGTCTACAAGTCATACACTGGAGATACATTGACTTCTATGTATGAATACAATGTATATATGTGAGCAGAATCATTTTGCTCTATCAAATGGATGTAGAACAGTAATAGCCCATTTTTCAGAGCCACATCTTCCATGAACTCTTCCTGTACCCCTAGAAAAAGCATCTTTCCCATATAGTCCAATAGTTCATAATAGCAGTGGGTTACCCACGGAACTAACAACACCAGAAGTTGTTGATTGAGCCTTTTACAGTTCAGCATATTAATATGGCTTTAATTCTTTTTTCTCATAATTTTATTGATAAACAAATGGCAATGAGACAGTTTCAAATCAAATTGGTAGGAAAGTTTCAATAATTAACACATTGCATACATTCTTCCTAGTGGTTAATTGCTGTACAAGATGTGGACATGATATCCTAACACCATTAGAATAAATCACTCTATTCATTAAGAGAATGTAACTATATATCTATCCTAACCACTTTGAATACACAGATACAAAATGGACATTCATCTGTATCCCCTTTTTTTGTTAAGTTCCGTTATTTGAATATTATAAGTGTGTAAACTCAGCAAAATATTCTAAAAGAGTCCAGTAGCCCATAATAATATTGGGTCTTCCGCTTACTGGCAGTGTCAGAAATTGAGGACCTGAGTCCCCTACAGCTCAACATAACAGCATGGCTTTACTTCTTATATTTCGTTTTTATACTTTTCTGCTGGATGGTTAAGACCAAGGTAAAGCAGGACCTATGCAACAAGAGTTGTAGCTTTTGGGTCTGATAAGGTCAGTGAAATCCCCTTAGGATTTATCCTGAGATCCCATACCTCAGATTGTACAACCTTTGTCAATGTCAAATATGGCTTTAATTTTTATACCACATGTTTATAATTTTCTGCTGGATAGTTAAGACCAAGATAAAGCAAGACCTATATAACAAAAAAATGTAACTTTTGTATCTCACAAGGTCAGTCAAATCCCCTCAGGATTTACCCTGAAACCATGTATGGTAGTTTGTAGATCTTTTATCAGTGTCAGTCATCTGAACTATATTGGATTATTTTGCTGAATTCACACACTTACAATGTTTGAATGACAATGGAAAACCCATCTTCTAAGCAAAAAAAGGGGGAATATAAATGAAGGTCTATTTTGTAGTTAAAACATATATATATATATATATATATATATATATAATATGGGATAGATATACAGCTACTTTCTCTTAGTTCAATGAGAAGAATGATCGGTACTAATAGTGTTGGACAGGATGTCATGTCTGCATGTTGTACTCTGAATAACTACTATGAAGACAACAATATGAAATGTATTAATTATTGTAGCTGTCCTACTAAGCTGTTTTGAAACTGTCTCATTGATATTTCTGTCTCAATAAAATTAGTAAAAAAAGAAAAAGCATCTTTCTTTCCATAGGGCCTTGTAATAGTCTCTGTCACCTGCCTTGATTATTTTTACACAATTCAGAGTATGTGCTTTTGGCCAGCAGTAAGTGTTTCATCTTTTCTCTCAAACTTTTTGATGCACCTCCCAGGATTTAATGAGTATAGACTCGTAGATACGACCAATTCCAGTTCAAAGGCAGCCTTGCCCGACTCACTTGGCCTCCTCCAAGTCTTCAGTTCTCTGGATTGCATCCTGTTCATACTTCATCCTCAGCTGCACCATTTCAGCATTGCCTTTGGACAGGGCCCGGTGTAGCTCAGCCTTGACCTCCTGTTCCTCCTCATACTGCTCTCGTAGAAGGTCAAAGTCATGCTTGGCTGACTGCAGGGCTTGGGCCAGTGCACTCTGAGACTGTAAGGCACACACATTTGAAAAGACATCATCACCATTAACACACTTAGAGATGACTTTTTTTCAGATAGAGTTAATAAAACTTAAGGTGAACCTAAACTTAATAGAATAATATCAAAGAAACAATCTTGACAGGAAAATAAAGAATATAGATAGCAAATTTGTCTAAAATGAGAAAGAGTTCTATTAAGGTGAATACTACTCTCATTACCTAGGTTTAGTGATGGGCAATCCTGGTCATCTAGAAGTAGTGAAGAATATAAATTTAACAAGGAGAACATTTGCTATCAATAAGATTTATATTAACAATATATAATATTCAGATCTTGTTTGAACCAGAAAAAAGTCACTGGGATTTAGTCTAGCTTATCATCCCATTGTTGAGAAAAATAAATTTTTGTATTCTCCATGTAAAGCTCTATGAAAACTTCCATGAGCACCTTAAAATGTGCTACTCCATAGCATTTTCTATAATGATGAAAATATTCTGTGTAGGCACTATCCAGTGTAATAGCTACACGTGTCACTCAAATATTAAGCACTCAAATATGTATAGTAAAATGGGTGGTAAATCTGAGTCTTTTACTTAATTTTAAAAAACATATATTTAAATCTAGATCATTGCCTGTAGCATAGTAGTGATTTCTACATTTGCTGGATAGCACAGTTGAGTTTAATAAACATTTCTATCATTTAAATGGTGGTCTGACCAAGCAGCATCCTTCTCAAGAGATAACCTCATGCAGAGGGAAAACCACTGCCTTGTACCATGAGGCAAGATGACAGACCCTACCATGTTTTCAGTATTTGCTACCCATCTTTCCAAACCACTTGGCAGTTGCTTGCCCATACTGCTCAAGGGTCCTTTTTGCAAATTAAAAAAAAAAGCATCATCTTAGGCAGCAACAGGTCTGAGTGGATGAGGCTTAGTGAATGGCAGCTTCAGCTCACATCCTTCGGTGGTGAATGAGGAGAAATAATACACAGTGATGCTGAGACTGACATAGGCTTTGTAATCATGCAGACGGGTTTTTACTGAGATCTTTTCTCTTTTTTTAAAAAAAAATATATGTGAATTGAGTACATGTTCTAAACATTAGTGTCAGACAAGTAAAAGAAGCAAATCAAGATCCCTGCTATAAGGAGCCAAAAAGGAATAAGGAGATATACAATAGAAACATGCAAACAAATGTATTTTCTAATAGAGGAAAAATAAAGCAGTATCATGATGTGTAATAGTTAGTTTCTTATTATCATTCACCAAATATCTTCAGGAAGGACATTTAAGCAATGCTTTGAACAGCAGTTACAAAGTTCAAAGGGTTATACAGGAGGGTGCAGAAAGCCAGAGGCACTGTGCAGCAGCAAGCAAGGGAGGCAGGTATGTGAGGTAAGGTCACAGGTGGAGTCTCAAGCCAGATGAAGCGGGGCTTGTATCCAACTGGGAGCCACTGCGAAGGTAGCTAGAGAGATCATCTGAAGTATACATCAAGTTGCTTACTCTCTGTGTGAATTTCTTCATAGTGTATCATATAACACATGAGTTTGGTCAAGTTATTTGTGTTCTCAGAACTTTTTTCTCTATATGCTTCATATGCCTGATATGCAGAATGAAATAAGAGAAGTATCTAGTGCAATATACAGTGTACAATGAATGGTAGTACTTTAAAACTTTGTATAGAGTAGATTTGAGGTTGAGGTGCCAAGCACTTGCCCCCTCCTCCAAAAGAAAGGATGAAAATAAATAAATAAATAAATAAATAAATAAATAAATAAATGCATTTTGAACTGAATGGTTAAGGCAGTTCACTGATACTCAGCAAGAAGGAAATGAGAACTCTGCTCCACATCGAGACCTGAGATAGCGGCTGAGAGCGAAGCAATGTGCATAGAACTAGAGGACCCATGCCCACAGCTTCTCCATGAGGGGGAGGTGAAGGGGAGGATTTCCTCCTTGCTGGGTAAAAGTTAAGGGCAAAGTCCCAGCAGACTCCATTATTTATTTATTTAATTTATTTTTAAAATTTTGCAGTCACTAGGGCTAGCCAGATAGCTCAGTGGATTAAAGCACCTGCTTAGGCAGACACAGGGACCAGGGTTCAATCTCCAGCATGCTGTGACAGCCCCACCCCTGGGGTGTGCTGAGAGAGTGATTGAAACTGGGCATGGTAATACCAGCGCTTAGGAGGCTGAAAACAGGAGAATCACTACAAGTCTGATCTGTGTAGTGAGACCCTGGAGACCCTGTGCTAAATACAAAAATAAATAAGTACGTAGGTAGATAGATAGATAGATAGATAGATAGATAGATAGATCTCACAGTCAATAATAATCTGACCCACAGGAGTATTCTAGAGTTATCCTAGGCTTAAAACATCATTAGGAGAGCTACTTAGACTAGATGAGGAAGCTTTGTTTTGGGAAATAACTCTTATTGTCTCTGCACCCATAGAATCAGACAGTGCCATCTTGAGAACAGAAACGTTGTTAGAATTCATCCTGCACTGGGAGTCAGAAGCCTCTGCATCTGACTCAGGCCCTGTGGACATGCTACTTCATTCACACAAAGGGCTACAGCTTCACAAACCCAACAAGAACCTGATCTCAGATACAAGCCTACACAGTACTAGACACTACGGAGGTGGCTGAGCATGGCTTGGGACCTAAAAAACAAAAGTGCTTGCCATGTGGTACCTGGGAGCTGTCTCCCTCCTCTGCCCCCAACTTTCCACTACAGGTATCAGCCTGTGCACCATCATAGGACCTGGTGGCATATACTCCCTATCCGTACTGCCACCATGCCACCCAGACACACTAACTATAGCCAAAGAAGCTACAGGAAGACTATAATTCAGTGCTCATCAGGAACAAAAGCCAATGCGAATGTCCCAGCCAATACTTCAGACAGCTTCAGAAGAAATACTTTTACTATGAAAGCTACCTTATAAAAGTGGTAGAGAAAACTCAACTGCTAGATGTGCAAATATCAGTGAGGATCACAAAGTATGAAAGATCAAGGCAATATGGCCCCTCCAAAGGTGCCCCAAACTCTGGGGCAATAGAGCACAAAGAAAAGGATACTGATGAAATGTCTAATAAAAATATCAGAAGTGATTCTAATGAAACTCAATAAGGTATAACAGAATGCTGATAATTCAACAAAAGTAGGGAAATAATCAATACTATGATTGAGAAATTCAAGAAAAGCCAGATACCTAAAAAAAGAATCAGAAATCCTGAAGAACTCAATATGTCAAATGAAAAAAATATAGTTCAGAACCCTAGTAGGATAGATTGAATAGAATGAAGTCTTTCTGAACTCAGAGACAGATCTCTTAAAGTGTCCTATGCAGACAATAATAAAGATAAAAATGTATGCATGTGTTGTGGTAGTCTGGCAGCTGGTGACCATGATCAAAAGCAAGGAAGTATCTCTTGTTCCACTTCAGCAGCAGAAGCATGAGCAAGCCAAGCTGGATCAGTGGCACCTAAGGACAATGGCCTCAGTGACCATAGCTAAGAGAAGAGTCCACCTGGCCGGCGAGATAGCTCAGTGCTCTAAAGCGCCTCCTTAGGCAAGCGTGCAGGGACCTTATCCCTCAGTCCTAGGTACCACATGCCATGCCAGCCCCACCCCCAGTTTGGACTGAGCTGGCCACAAAGAAAAGAGAGACAGAGAGACAGAGAGAGAGAGAGAGAGAGAGAGAGAGA